GCCGAGGCAGGTGGATCACCCGAGATCAGGAGTTCGAGACTAGTCTGGTCAACTCTGTCTTGTCTAAAAATACAAAAAAATGTGGCATGCACCTATAGTCCCAGCTACTCAGGAGGCTGAGGCAGGAGAATCGCTTGAACCCAGGAGGTGGAGGTTGCAGTGAGCCAGGATCACGCCTGAGTCACAGAGCGAGACTCCGTCTCAAAACAAACAAACAAACAAAAAACAACAGTAGTATAGCCAGTATAGCCATACAATGGAATACTGCTCAGCAATAAAAGGAATGAAGTATTGCTACACACTACAACATGGATGAATCTCAAAATTATGCTAAGTGAAAGAAACCAGACAAAAATAGTATATTTTGTATGATTCCATTTATATAAAATCCTGAAAAATTTTAAAACTCATCTGTATGACAGACAACAGATCAGTGGTTTACTGGGTGGGAGTGGGGGTTGGAGAGCAGGGTGGGATTTTAAGAATAAAAGGGGAATTAGGAAACATATTGGGGTAATAGGTATGTTCACTATCTTGATTATGGTGATGATTTTACGAGTGTATACATATGTAACACTTCAAAATGTACACTTTAAATAATGTGTGAGGTTTGCTTTATGTCAATTATAGCCCTATAAGCTTTTTTTTTTTTTTTTTTTTGAGATGGAGTCTCACTCTGTCACCCAGGCTGGAGTGCAGTGGTGAGATCTCAGCTCACTGCAAGCTCCACCTCCCGGGTTCATGCCAATCTCCTGCCTCAGTCTCCCAAGTAGCTGGGACTATAGGCGCCCACCACCACACCCAGCTAATTTTTTGTGTTTTTAATAGAGATGGGGTTTCACCGTAGCCAGGATGGTCTCAATCTCCTGACCTCGTGATCCGTCCATCTCAGCCTCCCAAAGTGCTGGGATTACAGGCGTGAACCACCACGCCCGGCCTAAAGCTATTTTTTAAAACACATTTAGAGCTGTAGATAAGAGTTGATAGTCATAAGCATATGGACGGTGGTAAGCAACATGAGAACACTAGCACAAGGAGGCCAGGCATAGTGGCTCACACCTATAATCCCATCACTTTGGGAGGCCAAAGCAGGACCATCCCTTGAGTCTAGGAGTTCGAGACCAGCCTGGGCAATACGGTAAAACACTGTCTCTATGAAATACATTAGCCAGATGTGGTGGTGCATGCCTGTAGTCCCAACTACTCCTGAGGCTGAGGTGGGAGGATTGCTTGAGCCCAGGTCGAGGCTGCAGTGAACTGTTACTATGCCACTGCACTCCAACCTAGGCAACATAGCGAGACCCTGTGTCAAAAAAGAAAAAAAAAAAGGCAAGAAGAAAATTTAGTTTTTTCACTTAATAAATACTGAATCCCTACTACGTATAGATATTATGTGAGGTATTAGGGATACTAAAATGACTGCAATCTTGGTGCTTAATAATCTAGTGTTGGAATCACACATACCAACAGGCAGTTATTGCAGTGTCATATATGTCTAAATGGGAGAGAGTAAAGGGTTCTGTGAGAGCAGTCAGAAGATTCTGAAAGCTCAGAGGAAGTAATGTCTTAGCCGAAGCCTGAAGAACATATAAGAGTTAACCAGCATGAGATAAACTGCTGAGCAGAGTGGGCTGGAAAGCAGAGGTAGCCCAGTGATTTGGGAAATACAGCTTCAGGGATGTTTATTTGCAAAAGCCCCTTCAAACCCTCTATCTAATTTGTTAATATAATTTTGTATGTATTTTTCCTAAATAAATCCCCTCCCCACTCCCACAACCCCACCAAATTGTGTAAATTTTGGCCCCACAAAACCTGGATTTGTCCTTAAGTAGGTCTTTCTTTTGGGTTATTTAGAATTCAGCTCTTTCTTATGTTTGGGGAATTCCTTGAGTCTTCCCACTGAGCCAGTCTCCCTTTATAAAAGCTGAAAATGCAAACGACTTAAGTTGAACTTGTACATACTTTAAAATTGGTAGCTAGTTAACAACAATAAATCAAGGAAGGACCTTAGTGTATCCTCTCCAGATGCAGTGGCACATGTGTCAAGATTAAATTCCCAAAGCAGCAGATAGTATTACAAAGCACAGTGTGTCAGTGCTTGGCAACAGCGGCTACAATCTCCTCACCCAACCAGTTATGCAGTATAGTTCCAGGATTTATTCCCAGCCGTGTGGCTCAGACTGATGCTGATTCTCTAGTCCTTTTGGCCATTCTGCGAGCAGCACAATATTCTTCTAATACAATTTATCTTATGCTGAAAACCAGAATCCATCTCTGTTGCTTATGACTAAAAATCCGAACTGACAGACAATTTGGTATTTGGAAGTGGAGTACTACCAAACAGACCTGGAATGGTGTGTAACTGGCTGAGTGGAAAAGGCAGGATGGAGGGCAGAGACACAACTGTTTCGGGCTAGGAAACTAGTGACTCTGAGACAGGACACCAAGGTCACACTATCAAGAAATGTACTCTAAAGCTGAGCAGCCTTAGAAAGAGTCTTCCCAGTGCTCATATTAGATGTGGCTGTTGAGGACAGAACACCAGAGAGCCACAGCCACCAGTTGAAAAAGCAGCCTGTGTATTCCACCAGAGATCTTAGACATGAAGCTGGATAGAGTATCTGGATGAGATTCTGGTTGATTCTCTTTGGGAAACAAATACATTTTTCATATGGGTATGAACATTTTTCAGTGTATGTACAGGAAGGACAAGTATACCTAACAGTAGGATACTTCACTTCTCCTCCCTTCTTCCTTGCTGTGGAGCCCCAATTTTGTTTCTCCAGCACATGACTAAGTCATTTGTGGTAATCCCACAATCCACACTATTGGGATCCCCAACCCCACAGTGGCCATTATGGCCAACAATATGGTTTACGAAGGGGTATATAACTAATCTAGCCATTTAGGCCATGCATGAGATACCTGCTCAGGGATTCTGGGAAAGGTCTCCTTATTGATAAACAGAAACATAGAATAAATTACTGCAGCTACCTTTAGCAGTAGCCATCCTGGAAGACCAAACCAATATCCCAAGGAAAGTGAAAGCAGAAGGATGGAGAAACCTGGTTCCTCAGTGTTACCACTGAGCTCCTGAGTTAACCAACCCAGAAGCCTCCAAACTCTTGACTTTTTGTTTTGTGTTATTTAATAATTTTCAGTTAGGTTTTTCTGTTTGCTTCTTGCAATTGAAAGCATTCTTATTCTAATTGCTATTATGTCTGGGAGTGTAGAATTTGATCATAAGGCTGGTGAAATAAAGAAGAGGTGAGACCACATAGGGCCTCAACTCCATTTGAAAAGACTAAAAAAACCACTGAAGGCTTGACATAATTAGACCGACACTCCTGTTGCATTGGGGAGAACAGATTGGAAGCGGACAAGTTGAAAGCAGAGAATAAGAACAGTGACCTTTAGACAAAACTTGGGAGAACTCCAATCTTTGAAAAAGTCTCTGGAGCAACCCAAAGGGAACATTAGGAAATTATTTTTTACATGGTAAAAGGGGGAAAATATTACAGAAGCAGGAGGATAGGAGAGTTGGGCACTTCAGATTGGGCAAAACTGAAGGCAATAGAGGGTTTAGAAGAAAAGTGAGTTATGAAAGGTTATCAATTGATCAAGAGGTCCAGGAAGAGAAGGAAGGATGGGATTCAGCAATATGGAAATTCGTTACTCTTAGTGACCTTTGCAACAACAACTTCAGGGTAATAAGTCAAATGCAATACTACAGCGGGTTAAAGAATAAATGGAAAGTGAGGAAGGCAGCAAGTTTACAGGTTAAGGACAGTGACAATAGCATCACAGGTCCTTCCTTAATAAACAATGTTGAGTTAATGATTTGGTGTAGAGAGGCCAAGTACTGAGAGCCATGTCCTATTCAGGAGCTGATGACTAGATTATGTTAGGGCTACAGAGAGTCAAGACGTAATATAGGGACAGATCATGCTGGTCCTTGTAAACTCTGTTCAGAAGTTTGCATATTCCTGGTAAGAAATCATGGTAACTTAAACTAAGGTAGAAACATGAAGATGAATGACACATTAAAAGCTTTTGAGGAGGTAAATTACCTGGGCTGCATGATTGATGGGATGTGGATATCAGATGTGACTGAGCCATGGAAGTAGATGAGATTCTCAAAGGAGCATGTGCAGTGGGAAGAAAGCCAAGAATGGAATCTTAAGAAATACCAGGACATAAGGCAGAGCTCCCCAACTAATGTACTATGAATGGGTTATGGCTGTGCCCAAAATACTGATCCCTTTCGTCTAAATGGATGGTGAGAGTCACTGGCTGGTCACACGCAGCAGTAAGCAACTTCACTGGTTAACCCCAGTGTGTCTCTGGAGGGCAGACATTATATTCTGTCAACTTTGTACTACAAGTTCCATGACTATGTGGAGCCATCCTGGATACCTTACCCAATACATGTTGGTTAAATGAATAAATGTAGAGCAACATTGAGGGACAAACTTAAAATGATAGGTTGGGGCCAGATCAGTTATTCTTAAACTTCCAAGTGTACATTAAGATTACCTAGTGCTTTTCAAACTTGAATGTCTATATTATTCTGATTCATTAGGTCTGGAGCAGGGTCTGGAGTTCTATTTTTCTAAAATGTTTCCAGTGATGCTGATGCTAATTTGGGACCACTCTGAGTAGCAAGAAATAAACAATACTAGTTAAAAATACAACCTGTACAGCTTTCCCATGAGATACAAATTCAGTAGGTATGGGGTGGAGCCAAAGAATTCGCATTTTAAGAAAAACATCAGCTGGGTGCAATGGCTCACGCCTGTAATCCCACCACTTTGGGAAGCCAAGGAGGGGTGGATCCCTTGAGCCCAGGAGTTGGACACCAGACAGGGAAACATGGTGAAAACCCCTTTCAACACATCTATTAGCCAGGTATGGTGCAGGCCTGTGGTCCCAGCAACTCGGCAGGCTGAAATGAGAGGACTGCTTGAGCCCTGGGAGGTGACACTTGCTGTGAGCCAAGATTGTGCCACTGCACTCTAGACTGGGTAACAGAGCAAGACACTATCTCAAAACAAACAAACAAAAAAACAAGAACAACATTAACTCTGCAATAGTTGGCCTAGGAACCCAGTTTGATGGGAGAAATTTGAACGTTAAGCTAAGGATTCTGGACTTTATCCTACAGGTAGCAAGAAAGGCATTGAGGTTTTCCATATACAAATACTACGTATTCCCAAGGGATATTTTTATTTATTTATTTATTTATTTATTTATTTATTTTTTGAGATAGGGTCAAAAAGAGAAGAGAACAGAAAAAACGAGAGAAAAATAAAGCAAGGCCAGGAGCTGGCAAGCAAAGACACACTCAAGAGTGCTTCTCTTTGCTTCCTTGCCCTCTGAACTGTTCAATAAATAGTGAAGAACACAAAGCTAACTGCAGTATTTATTTCAGACCTGCTGCTGCTCTCCAATTTAAAAGCAATACAGGTTCCATTAAATTTGTCACAGTTGAAACTGGTAAAAGTAGACCTCTACAGGTGCTTCTCGACTTACAATGGGTTTACTGGGAGGGGAAATTATTGTAAGTCAAAATGCCTTCAATACACCTAACCTACTGAGCATCAGAGCTTAGACTAACCTACCTTAAACGTACTCAGAAGACTTACACTAATCTACATTTGAGCAAAATCATCTAACATAAATTATTTTTTATTATAGAGGGTTGAATACCTCATGTAATTTATGGGAACAACGTCCTAAACATGAAAAACAGGATAGTTGTATGGGGACTCAAAGTTCGCTTTCTTCTGAATGTGCATCACCTTTGGAACCATCATAAAGTCAAAAAATTTTAAGTCAAACCAACCTAAGCCCCAGACCGTCTGTATATGAAGTGCTCCCTAAGGGGCACTATGCCAGATACTATGCCTAAGTGTTTTCCAACTTTCTGTACCACATTCAAAAGGAGCATCTTCATAAAGATGTTACTGACATCGTGGAAAATATTAGTCCTTCCTTTCTTTGCAGCTGACAGGATTTTTAAAAGAAGCTCTAAACCACAAGCGTATTCCAGCAGCTGTTTGTTCTTCCTGGTGTGAGTTACTTCCTCCCTCTGCTACTGTCGCTTGTATTCTGGTTTGAGGAAATATTAAGCAGCACAGTAAATCGGTCTGTTTTCAGAAATTGCTTAGTCCTGGAATTAATACATTTTACAAAGCAGGTTTGCTTTAGCTCCTTAAGATTTGGTTACTTAGAATAAAATCTTCCCAATTTAATAGCCAATTTGCATACATGTATAAATACATGAACTTTAAAAGTACCTTCAGGATTAAGAGGGTTTTGTTATCTGTTTTTACAGAATGTAAAGCTGATTACCTCAGCAAGTTTTAGAGCAATTTTAAGAATAATAACACAAGAATCTTAAGATAATACATTCTTTAGAACCAAGAATCTAAGGATAATACATTCTTTAGAACCAAATGTGTAAATGGTTAAATAAAGGATGTTTTAACAACATGGTCTCAACTGTGGACGTATCATCATCTTTCAAAGCTACCTGCAAAAAAGGGACAATGTCCTCACTGGCTAGTAAAAATCAGAAAAATTTAAGAAATTCTCAGCAAATTTCTTATCTTTTAAAATACCCATGGTCATCCCCTAAGAGGGTAAATCCACGTGTCATTAATAAGCAAGTCAGTGAGTTCATAAGCCATACTGACCTCCAGGATTTTTAATTTCTTGGTAGGGATAATGGACATTAAAAGGAAGCTTATACTTTCCTATTAATAAGGAGATTTATTTACAACAAATTTCTACTTCAAAACACTTCCAAGCATATAACAAATACCATCCTTAAAAGAGGGATTCCCTATTTGATTGTCTCAGTTTATTAGAATATGGATGGTCTTTTCATTCTAAATAACATGTCCTTTGTTTGCTTGTTTTTGTATAGGAATTATCCTGGAATCTGATAACGCTGGGACCCTACTGATGGCTAGGCACTGCGTATCTTCGTTATGTGCCATTTCCATTCATTCTTTAAAATATTATGAAACATTGTTACAAACAAAAGAATATCATGTATAATTATAATATGGATAACACATATTATAGTATAATATATACAACATATAATAACATAAAAGCATGATGAAATGACCACCTGTGAACCTGCCATCCAACTTGAGGAACAGAATGATAGTACTGTCGAAGCCCCTGGGTGTCCCTCTTCAATTACTCTGCCTTCCTGAAATACCATGTTATGTTGATCATTTTCTTTATAGTTTTATCACCTTTAGAGCTAACAAAGTATATTCAAAATTTGGTTTTTGAATTTTATAAAATTCTATTATATTGCATGCACTCTGCTGCAACTTATTGTCTTTAGGACACCGTGAAGATATCGACAGAGTGTTTTGAAATTCATCTAAGTATCTACACTCTGAAAGTGAATATCTGACAGAAATAATCTCAATCAATGAATTTTATAAACCCTGGCAATTAACACTTACCTGCTTCATTGTCAATCGGGAACTCTCAGTTTCCCCTCTTTTGTCCACTGGATCAGCACTGCAATCTCATTTTAAAGGGGTTGTTCATATTCTGTGGCTAACTGCTTATCAAATTCCATATCCCAAAGTGAAGGTGATGTGTCTGTATAACAAGACATTTTAAATAAGAACAAGTCAATGTAAATATCTTTTTAAAAAATGTTATAACCAATCCTGGATTGATCGTGTATTTTTCATAACTTGACACTCATAATTACAGTATATAACAAAAAGTTACTCACTGAGAGATAACAGCAACAAAAATTATAGTAAAGATTATAACTAGGCTGGGCACAGTGGCTCACACCTGTAATCCCAGCACTTTGGGAAGCCAAGGTGGGGAGATCAGGAGTTCAATACCAGCCTGACCAACATGGCGAAACACCATCTCTACTAAAAATACAAAAAATTAGCTGAGCACAGTGGTGCGCACCTGTAATCCCAGCTTCTTCGGAGGCTGAGGCAGGATAATTGCTTGAACCTGGGAGGCGGAGGTTACAGTAAGCCAAGATCGGGCCACTGCACTTCGGCCTGGGTGACAGAGCGAGACTCTGTCTCAAAATAAATAAATACATACATACATATACACACACATACTACAACTATAATAATGGCAAGCTTAACTTTGGTTTTACCACAATGTCAGGTAATCACTACCCCTTCTACTGGAAAAAAATAAATAAATTTGTATTTTGTTTAAAGGTATTTTTATGAATATGAATATTTTTATACAATATGTGACTTTGATTTTTAAAATCTAGGCTGTTTACTTTTTACTCTATCAAAATTAGTCACTAATGTACTACTGTTCACAACCAAAGAAGTTAGATCAACAGAATAACAATAAAACTGCTAATGAACACTGAGTACTTCCTCTTTGCTTAAATGTTTTTTATGCATTAGTACATTTAATCCTCACAACCAACCCTATGAGTAGGCTAATTACCACCATCACATTACGTTTCAATAACTTTTTTACTTTTGAAATTTCAGATCATCTTCTGAGAATGAGCCATATTCCCACCAGTTACTGCTGCTGGGAACATAAAATGGTACAAACATCTTGGAAAACAGCTTGATGGCTTCTTAAAAAGTTAAAAATACATCTATTATTCATCATAGTTATTTCATTCCTGGATATTTACCCAAGAGATAATACATGTCCACACAAAGACTCGTACACGAAAGTTCACGGCAGCTGTCTCTGTAACAGCCAAATGTGGGTTGTAATTTGGGAAACAATCCAAATGTCCACTAACAGGTGAATAGGTACAAAAATGTAATACATCAGCAGGGCACGGTGGCTCGCAGCTGTAATCCCAGCACTTTGGGAGGCCGAGGGATCATGAGGTCAAGACGGATCATGAGGTCAAGAGCTCAAGAACAGCCTGACCAACATGGCAAAACCCCGTCTCTACTAAACATACAAAAATTAGCTGGGCATGATATGGCAGCTACTCAGAGACTGAGGCAGGAGAAATGCTTCAACCAGGACCCAGGAGGCGGAGGTTGCAGTAAGCCGAGATCACGCCACTGCACCCCAGCCTGAGCTACAGAGCGAGACTCCGTCTCAAAAAAAAAAAAAGTAATACAGCCATACAACTGTATACTATTCAGTAATAAAAATGCATTAGTAGTACATGGAACAACATGGATGAATCTCAAATCATTAGCTGAGTGAAAGAAGCCAGATGCAAAAGAGTTCATACTGTGTGATTTCATTTATGTACAATTCTAAGAGATGCAACCTAATCTATTTTAACAGAAAGCAGATCAATGGTTGCCTGCATTGTGTGCCTGTGTGTGTGTGTGTGTGTGTGTGTGTGTGTACTGTAAAAGGATATAAGGAAACTTTTAAGGGTTATGAAAATGTTCACAATTGAAAGTGGCAGTTTCATGGGTGTATCTATTTGTTAAAACTAGTCGAGTTACATACTTTAAATGTGTGCAGTTTGTTGCACACAAATAACTTAATAAAGTTGTAAAAGGAAAACGAATATCAGTATCTATCCCTTGGCTACTTTTTTCCCTAACTGTTGGTCCTTAATTAATTTTTCAAACATTTTTTATCTTTCTGGACTAGAGGTATACATTGCATATGATTTATCCTCCAGCCTACCTGTTTATACACTTTTGTCAAGCCCACTAAAGCATGTCAACAAATGGCTAGCTCATTTACTCTTCCACGTGGGTAAGCCTTATTTTATCTATTTGCTTTTTCTGAATCTGTTTCTATGAGCCTTTGTGTGCAGAGATGTGTCTAACCACATGCTGACTAGTAGATATTAAGTATTTTGGCCTAGATCATCTGATACTGAGTAACTATTACAATTGTTAGCCACATTTACAGAGCAATCACATCAATAATATAACTATCTCAGTTATCTTTTACTTGGTGGACATTGACCGACCTATGTCTTTTCTATCATCATTAGGATCATCATGTTTTTACACTTGCTAATAGTTGCAAACATTTATTAAATGTGTACTATGTTCCAGGCACTGTGCCTCACACTTCTCAGATGACCTCATTTAATCCTGGAGATGTATGTACCAACCTTTGTTTTACAGTTGGGGAAACGTAAGTGCAGCAGAATCGGAATTTGAATCCAGTTCTACACAACACCAATACTCTTTCTGTTAAGCTATACTGCCTGTCGACTCTAGGATAACCAGTAGGGCCTATGACTATATCCTTTGTAGCAGTGTAAGAATTTAGTGGGGAACACGACGTGGGAATCATGGAACAGAATAACTCATTCAATCGGTCAATAAAAAAATTACTGAATGCCAACTATATTTCCAGCATTCTTTGGAATGGTAATATAACAACAGTGAACAACTGCTAAGTTTAAGTTTCCATATTTTGCTATTCTTGTACTTAACTGGAAACAAAATCATTCTTTAGACTCATGAAAGTATAGCACAAACAGTACCTTCATTAGAGTAAATTATTACATAAATTTGTGTGCTACTTTCCTCACTACAGTATAATCATTTGATACTGTTTTATAAAATACATAAAATTTCAATGCCTCCTTGCCAACTAATTTCAGTTTTAGAAATAAGATTATTTTAAAAAGCAAGCTGGCTCCTTCAAGAATCCAAGTGTCTTGGCTGGACAACAGCAGCTGCCCTGACAAAAAATTCCTTTCTGATGCATACTTAACGGACACGATTTGAGCAGGGGAGAGGTGATTCATTGTCCCTATGCATTTTGCATTTCCTTTTTATCATACACAACAGAATGCAGTTTTTGTAATACAAGGGGGTTGTTGTTCTAGCTTCGCCTTCAGTTCTAATGAACAAATGTTAATTGAATTAACTACTTTCCTTTAGAGATGTATATTTTATAGTACAGTTTGTTCAAAAAAGAATTTAAGACTTAAGATAACTAGTTCCTGTGATCTGTAAGCCACATGAGTAGATGCTACAGGGTATACAGTCATGAATGAGATCTAGCCTCTAATATAGTTTATTAAATAGGGGGAAAATCAGAAGTTCATATAAGTAACTGCTAGAAAGATTAAGTGAGCCATTGGAGGCTGGCCTAGGAACTTATCTATCACATATAACATTTTTTCCCCCCTTTGAGAGGGGGTCTCGCTCTGTCACTTAGGCTGGAGTGTTATGGCACAATCGTAGCTCACTGCAGCATCGAATTCTGGGCTCCAGTGATCCTCCCACCTCAACCTCCCAGGTCGCTAGGACTATAGGCATGCACCACCATACTCAGATAATTTTTTTCTATTTTTTAGAGAAAGGATCTCACTATGCTGCTCAGGCTGGTCTTAAACTCCTAATCTCAAGCCACCCTGTTGTCTCAGCCTCCTAAGTCCATATACAACATTATTTCTACCAAAATCCAAAAAACTAACTTCTATTCGTAGAAATGCTCATCACTTACACTCTGGAGAACATCTGTATTGAGTTTCTTCATTTATATTACTAGTAAACCAAATTTAATGTCAAGCAAGAGGACACTCATTTCTCTTTTAGACTTAAAATGGTAAATTTCTTACCCAAAGAAAAGGGGAAGAACAGAGAACAAAGACCAACCATGTGTTAAGAAAAAAACACTACAAGTCTGTTATATTCCTTCAATGTTCTTCCCATCCATCTCCTGAACAATCACTAAATCACTTCAATAAGTTATTTTATAAATGCTAGCTCCTCTTCTAGATAGCAAGCTGTGTAGGGGCAGGAACCAGTATATCTTTATGTAATAGCATAGAGATACGCTGCAAATGATAGGTGATTAATAATGTTCTAACTCAAATTAATGGCTAATCTGGACGTCTGGATTCATGTAATTGGTAGTACTTACCTCCCATTGTCTCACAGAATGCAACATTTCAAGGGGGAAACCAAACCACAACTAGCAGTATCAACAACTGTAGTGTGGTATGTCCCCCACCAGGTTACTGAAGGGTGTATATGTGTTGCTTGAACCCTGAAGGCTCGGCAGGGAGCCAAGGCCATAATGCCTAGCGAGGGGCAGGTGTCCCTGAGAACCCAAATATCCCAGGGCATATCTCAAAACATATCAAGCAAAACAGTCTCATCGTGCACACACAGTAGGCAAATAGCCAGAATATAAGCTTTAAAACAGCTTAGAGATAAGAGGCAGGTTGACTCCAGAGCTGCCTAGAAAAGTCCAGTATGTAAATCCTAGTAAACTCATCTATTCATCAAGCTGGACTTGCCCAAATTATTCTTTGGTCTCTCGATGCCTTCCCAATTTGGGGGACGTTACAGTCCCAAGTTTTCCTTCTAACCACCACCACATTCATGATTCGAATCCAGGCCAATGACAGGCGGGAATATTAAAATATCCAACTATTACACCATCAGAACACTAAGGACATCCTGAAAAGATGGAATATTTTTCCACCTGAGAAATAGTTATTCTTAACAAACCTATTCAGGTGCTTATCTTTAGTAACTGCTATAATGTTAAAACTATTACGTCTTTTCCCTGTGAATATATTTTTCCAAAAATATATATATATATATTTTAATGAATATAAACTGTCAACAAAAATTATGAAAAAAAATATTCAGTGAAATATTATACATAAAAATTAAAAAATAATTCCACTGATGCACATCAAACGTCTTAGCTAAACTGCCACATTTTTAGGACTGATAGACTGAAAACAGAAATGTTCACTTGAAGTTTTGCTTCATAATACAACAAATCAGTTACAGCAATTTAATTTCCAAAATATCTAATTGAAAAGATTAGCTTAATTTGCCATAATTTTTATTTGTTCCCTTTTATATTAAGTTTTAAAAACTCCATGTTGTGAAAAACTATAAAATTATGCTAAAAAGAAGCTGTTAAAGTCAACATTTGTTTTTAAGGGCAGAAAACACTGCAATGTTTAATTACAAATTATAATTATAAAAGAATGCGTAGGTAAATCACAACATTCCCTTTCATAAAGCAATCATTCTGTAAAATAATTAACTTTCTTTACATGACTATTTTTAATGATTGAAATTAATATCAGAGTTAATAGGTAACATTTTCTTGCACCCTTGATAATCAACTGCTTTATGCATCAATTTACATATTTACTTGGATATACTTACTGGCAGATTAAAATTCAGTTTATAAACTGGAGGGTTATTTTTAAAAATTTTAACTTCTTTTTTTATAGATTAAATTACTTTTCTCTACTAAACAGAATTAACTAGAAAAAACGGAAATATCATATGAACGTTAAATAATGTGATCTCAAGTCATACAAGTTTTCCTCTAGCAGGTTCCCAAGTTACTTGTAAACAAAGGCTTTTCTGCTCCAGAACTTTCCTCAGTCCTTGCATTCTTCTCCCTCAACTGTATGTCTGGTGAACAGGATGGTGGATTAAAGCAAGTCACAGCAGACAGGGAATGCCTTGGTAAAGCACTGAACTTCAAGAGAGGAATGTACAACAAAGAAAGGGAATGGACATTTGCTGAGCACCTACTATGTACCAGATAGTTGATACGTGTTTCTTTTCTATTCCTCAAGAAAGTCATTTAAGCTAGGTTTCACTTTCGGCATTTTATAGCTGGGGAAACAGGCTGATGGAGGCTATAAAAGGTGCCCTGGTCACAGAATTAGTCAGTGGCAGTGCCAACATTCTGAGGCAGGCCAGTGTGAACTGTCAATTTCCAACAGAAGCAATCAGTCCAGGCCTGGGTTGTCTGGGGTTGATACCCTAGACCCTGCCCGAGTCATAGCAGCGTGAACAACTCGGCATCACACCACTGCTTCCCCTTACTCCCCTTTAGCTGGCTTCTTAACACACTGAAGGCACAGGAACCCCTTTCCTACTTGTTTTAGCTTCTCCTTTGCCACTTAATTTTCAAAATATTAAATATCTAATATTAAAAATCAAATATGCCATCCCGATGTAGTTGCACAGTATTATATGCAATACGAATAAGTTCAATTTTCTCGAGTATTGACTCAGTTAAATATTCTAAAGTAAAACTCCAAGAACACTTTCTACTTTATTCAACAATATCTAACAGATACTAAATCATTTTAAATTAGTAGTTCAAATAATATTCCAAAGTCACCATAAACTCTTGAACTTCCTGTGTTAACTGCTGACCACCTTTTCCAACTTTCCTCTATAAATCAGTAATTTAACACCCAGGAGTTAACTCAAGTGCCTGATTTTACTTAAAACAAATCTACGGAATACACAATGTATTGAAAACCCTCCAATTGCGAGCATATCCAAGTATAAAGACAGGTTAGGCCAGGTCAGGTGATTCACGCCTGTAATCCCAGCACTTTGGAAGGCCGAGGTGGGCTGATCACTTGAGGTCAGGAGTTACCAGCCTGGCCAACATGGTGAAACCCCATTTCTACTAAAAATACAAAAATTAGCTGGGTGTGGTGGCACATGCCTGTAATCCCAGCTACTGGGGAGGCTGCCAGGGTAATCACTAGAACCCAGGAGGCAGAGGTTGCAGTGAGCCGAGATGGCGCCACTGCCCTCCAGCCTGGGCGACAGAGTGAGACTGTCTCATAAATAAATAAATAAATAAATAAATAAACAAACAAATAAATAAATAAATAAAAGACAAGTTAATTTTTGTCAGGCCATGCCAAATATCTGGGTCCTCCTTCGCAACTACCACTTTCAGGGTTTAAAGGAGAGAAAGAATAGAAACTTTATGTAAATAGAGAACAACTTTAGATTCTAAAATAACTATGTAAGACATGGCTCGGCATCTTTAAGAACTTCAAATCAGTAATTTCAAATGGCCACAAATAATCTACCATTTTAAGGTATAGGGTGCAGTGGCATGATCTTGGCTCACTGCAACCTCCGCCTCCCAGATCCAAGCAATTCTCCTGCCTCAGCCTCCTGAGTCCCTGGGATTGCAGGCGCTCACCACCACATCTGGCTAATTTTTGTACTTTTAGCAGAGAAGGGATTTCACCATGTTAGCCAGGCTGGTCTCGAACTCCTGACCTTGTGATCTGCCTGCCTCGGCCCTCTAAATTGCTGGGATTACAGGTGTGAGCCACCACACCGGGCCTACGCCTTTCTTTCTTTTCGTTGATGGTGGGTCATTTCTAAGGTGTAACAAAAGATAAGCATGTACAGAGATATAAAGGGTAAATGAATACACGGTATTAGGCATTTATATTTAAAATGAAAAATAATGTTCCTCACAAAATACTCGTTTGTTCAGAATTCAGTCAGCTCTACTTATTGTTTTTTTTTTTTTTTTTTTTTTTTGAGACGGAGCCTCGCTCTGTCGCCCAGGCTGGAGTGCAGTGGCCGGATCTCAGCTCACTGCAAGCTCCGCCTCCCGGGTTCCCACCATTCTCCTGCCTCAGCCTCCCGAGTAGCTGGGACTACAGGCGCCCGCCACCTCGCCCGGCTAGTTTTTTGTATTTTTTAGTAGAGACAGGGTTTCACCGTATTAGCCAGTATGGTCTCGATCTCCTGACCTCGTGATCCGCCCGTCTCGGCCTCCCAAAGTGCTGGGATTACAGGCTTGAGCCACCGCGCCCGGCCAGCTCTACTTATTCTAAATCAAAGGACCCCTATTCACTGTGGGTAGATGTGAAGCATGGCCCAGTTTGATTTAAGGTATAGAAAAATGGCTGGCTAAATCCAGCACATGGTTCCCTCTCTAGGAAGTGGTATACAGAGAGTAAGAACACAGATGTAAATGCGTTCATAATGCTCACAGTATCCAACAGCAATAATACACACACACAATAAGGTAAATCTACAGTTAAGGTAAAACCAAACTACACAAACAAAACCCAGCAGACTACAAAGCCTGATACCTGTTTCTAAGATCAGCGGTCTTCTCCTGGTCAGGATAATTGTCAAAGACTTGGTCAAACTGAATCTGATGCTCTGGTCTTAATATTAACTCTAGTTGTAGCACATCTGGCAATTTTCGTATCTGATATTTTGTTACTGAAACTGAAATAATAAAAAGGTCAAGTGCATCAGAAATCTAGGCCAACTGCGCCCGGGGCGGCGGCTGCCGCTTCAAGCTTGGCTAATCCCACTCCCGACCGCCTTTGGGAGTGCCTGACCGGAACAGATCACCGAGGTCAGTAGAATCGTTCGAGACGCCATCCGCCTGGAGCTAACCCCGATTAAAGCTTGCCTCCCGTCTCAACTGAAAAAAGAAAAAAAAATACAAAAAACTAGCCGGGGCGAGGGCGCGGCGCCGCTGTACGAGTACCCAGCTACCTGGCAAAGCTCGAGGTCTGGAGAATTCGGCAGTAAACCCCTGGGAGGGCCCCGGAGCTTGCAGTCGACGGCAGATCAGGCCACTGCACTCCAGCCTGGGCGACAGAGCGAACATCACACACAAAAAAAAAAACAAGAAAAAGAAAATTCCTTAGCTACTGCTCGCGGGCGCAGTGCCTCACGGCCCTGTAATCTCCCACGCGCCACTTTTGGGGAGGCCTGGTCCCGGCCAAGCCAGAGATACCCTAGACGGTTGGGAAAAGTCAACCAACCACCTGCCCACCATGGAGAGACACCCCATCTCCTACTAAGAAGCCACAAAATTAGCCAGGCATCCGGGTGCCAGGCCCTGCCTGTAATCCCCAGCTATTCTGCGAGGCTCAAGGCACGGCAGAATCACGGGCGAACTCTGACACCCCGGCGGAGGCTGAGGCTGTTCAGTAAACGCCGGAAATTGTGCGCTGCACTGCGCCCGCCTCCGCGGCCGACAGATGAACTTTCCATCTCAAAAACAAAAAAAAAAAAACAGAAACCTTAGCTACAGAACAGTAAAACTAGAACTCGTTCTGCAAACAGAAATGTGGTATCATTTAATTCTTATTTCATTTTTATCCACTAATTATATAGCGTACAAGGTTATGTTTAAATAAAAAACATTCACCTAACACAGAACATTACAATTTTTGTTTATTTCCATCTTTTAAAGATGTTCTTCAGAAATCTTCATTTCAAACATAAAAGTGTCACATGAAAAATTATTCCGAAAAGATGAAAGTACAATCAGTATCTGTATACCTATCACCTACATTCAATAACTAAATTAAAATCAATAGATAGATATATTTATTTACTGCCGTGTATTTGTTCAAACACAAACAAAATGAGTCACTGAACTGACATTCCAGATACCTATGGTTTTCTTTTTCTTTTAAATATAATTTCTTTCAGAGATAGGGTCTCACTCTGTTGCCCAGGCTGGAGTGCAGTGGTGCCATCATAACTCAGTGCTGCCTCAAACTCTGGACTTAAGCCATCCTCCTGCCTCAGCCCCCAAAGTAGCTAGAACTACAGGCACACGCCATCATGCCCAGCTAATTTTTTTTATGGTTTGTAAAGATGGGGTCTTGTTTTGTTGCCCAGACTGGTCTCAAATTCCTGGCCTCAAGTGCTCCTCTTATCTCAGCCTCACAAAGTGCTGGGATTACGGGCATGAGCCACCACATAATGCCATTTCTTTTACCTTCCTAAAATACATCTGGTACATATGCTCATTGGGAACAACAGATTTAGATCATTTTCCAAAATGAAGCAGTGCTACCACTTACTACAATGTAGGCAGCAAGGAGTCTAACATAGTATAAAATAATGAGAGATGAAGAGAGTAAGTGGAAAGATGTCAGCTTAAACATAAGAATAAGAGGAAAAAGAGAAGGAAACAGACCTGAAGATTGCCATACTGTGCATAATACCAGCAAGCTATTTAACTGAAAAAAAAAAAGTACTTTTCTCAGAAAAGCTATCTTATTCTGTTATTTGTAATAACGTTACTGAATTTATCATTTCTTTTTTCATGGACAAGAAACTGTAATTTCCTAAAAGGAAAGTAACTATTCAATTGGTCTCTTAAAACTATAATCTTACTTAAGACATAAATTTTTTAAAATCTTGAATTGCTAAAATTCCACTTACATGGTATATTCTATATGTAAATTCCCTTATGTGGTATATATTATATGTATTACTTACTAGCCACATGAAAATGGCCTATTTTGAGATATAAACATTACTGACCTAATGGTTTCATTCACTTACCTAATTTTAGGTCTTTCTCCATCTCTCTGTGCCCGACTCTTCCTCATGCTACGGAGCTGCCTGAGCAGCTCTGGCTTGTTTGTCAAAAGAGGGCAGCAGATGCAGCTGCCACCAACTCACGACTCAGGGGCTCATTTCTGAAAAAGAAAATGAAAACCAAATGAGAAAGAAAGAGAGATTGATTATTATGCCATAAGTTTAGTGAAAAGTAAAATGATTTTGGGGGGAAAATTTTCTGTTGATCAAAAAAGTATCATTCAATTCAATTTCTGACAAAAGTAGGAATTCTCAACTATTAGGTACCAGTTTTAAATAAACTTTGAAATGTTAACTCAAAACAATACATTAACGTGGAGGGATGCGGGATCAGCCTCAAAAATTATAAATTAGTGGAATTTTCAATTAGATGCTATTGTATTTCAAAAACAATATATACTGCAAGCAAATACTAAGGCAGCTTAACCTGCTCACGGAAGTTTTACCCGTAATAGCCCCAAACTGGAACCAATCTAAGGTCTGTTGTTAGAAAGAAAAAACAAACTGTAGGATATCTAAACAATGGAAGAGTACTCAGCTCATGCCAACATGATTGACTCTCACAGACATTAGATCAAGTGAACGAAGGTGGACACAGAATATATTCCGTATGATTCCATTGCTGTCAAGTGCCAGAACAGGCAAAACTAATCTGAGGTGAAAAAACAATCAAAACAGCAATTGCCTCAGGAGAGAAGGCTACTGACTGGGAAGGTGAAAATGGGAAACACAGTGTCTTGGTTAAGTGTGTGGGTCACATGGGCTTATCCATTTGTCAAAATCCTCCAGCTAAGATTTGTACACTTTAATGTATGTAAATTTTACCCGAAAAAAAAAAAGCCATCAATCATTATCAAGTAGGAGATGGAAAGTGGGTGAAGGTATAGATAATACAAGAATGGCAAAATGTTGATCATTGTTGAAGCTGGGTGCCAGTATCAAGGGGTTCACTGTACCATTCTGTGTTCTTTGCATATGATTTAAATTTTTCATAAGAAAAAGCTTTTAAAAACTTCCTAAATTAGAGCAAGTTCATACAAAAACATTCTATTATAAAAAGTAAGTAAATTATATATAACATTTTTTCCTTTTTTTTTTTTTAAGAGATGGGATCTCAATACATCGTGAAGTCTGGCCTCAAAGTCCTGGGTTCATGCAATCCTCCCACATCATCTTCCCGAGTAGCTGGGACTACAGGCATCTGTCACCATACCTGGCTATTTGCAACATTTTTAAACTCACTGAGAACTGCCATCTCAAAATTAATATTTTATTATGCCTGGCTTTCAATATTATGATCTATTACCTAATACGCAAATTAAAGTTCCCAAATTCCTACAGTTCTTGGAAAAAGATTTTAAGGACTTAACTAAGATATGGAAGATCTAAAATCTGATAGGAATGGAAGAAAAATAGAAGAATGAAAAAAGGGGTTGAGCATGGTGGCTCATGCCTGTAATTCCAGCACTCTGGGAGGCCAAGGAGGGAGGACTGCTTGAGCCCAGGAGTTCGAGACCAGCCTGGGCAAGATGGCGAAACCCCATCTCCACAAAAAGAAAAAAAAAAAATTAACCAGGAGTGGTGGCATGCGCCTACAGTCCCAGCTACTTGAGAGGCTGAGTGGGAGGATACTCGAGCCTGGGAGGTTGAGGCTGTGGTGAGTGATGAGTGTTCCACTACACTCCAGTGTGGGCCACAGAGCAACACCCTGTCCCCCCTCCAAAAAAAAAAAAAGAAAAAGAAAAAAAAAAAGAAAAAAGGAAATATAACAGTTAAAATGAAATGTACTTTCAGAACTGTTATCTGTAAATAAAGCTTTAACCTTATTCCACGTCATTGTTACTTCTTTCATAAACCACTTGTAAACTTCATTTCTAAATTTTAACATATGTATTTGATCAGAGTATGCACAGAACACAGATGAATATTCATTTTCTAGAATCATGCATTTCATAACAATGGTTTCCTTCATAGTTATAGTCTCTGGCTTTATAATTTATAATGTTCTAATTAATAAAAATTGTAGGGAGCCTGTGTCATTGAACAAGATAATTTTTACATACAAGGATCTTTCTTCATAGATTTTAACAATGTAAAGAGAACTTGTTAAAGTATCTTTTAGGGCTGTGTGGTGGCTCACGCCTGTAATCCCAGTACTTTGGGAGACCGAGGCGGGTGGATCACCTGAGGTCAGGAATTCGAGGCCAGCCTGGTCAACACGGTGAAATCCCGTCTCTACTAAAAATACAAAAAATTAGCCAGGCACGGTGGAGTGCACCTGTAATTCCAGCTACTCGAGAGGCTGAGGAAGGAAAATCGCTTGAACCTAGGAGGCGGAGGTTGCAGTAAGCCGAGATCACACCACTGGACTCCAGCCTGGGCAAAAAAAGAGCAAAACTCCATTTCAAAAACAAAAAAGTATCTTTTCACAATCTATTCAATCCTGTAATTAAGACTATTTCATGAATACGTACTTTTCTCCTTCATAACTTTTTTTTTTTTTTTTTTGGAGACAGGGTCTCACTCTGTTGCCCATGCTAGAGAGCACTGGCACAATCTCAGCTCACTGCAATGTTCACCTCCCAGGTTCAAGCGATTCTCCCACCTCAGCCTCCCGAGTAACTGGGATTACAGTCACATGCCCCCACACCCAGCTAATTTTTGTATTTTTTTGATAGACATAGGGTTTTACCAGGTTGACCAGGCTGGTCTCAGCTCCTAACCTCAAGTGATCTGCCCTCTTTGGCCTCCCAAAGTGCTGGGATGACAGGCGTGAGCCACCGCTCCAGGCCCCTCGAGAATATTTTTAAATCATCTCTAGATTACTTGTAATACCTAATATAACAAATGCTACATAAGTAGTTGTTATACTGTATTTTTTAATTGGTATTTTTTTCTGTGTGTTTCTCAAAAAATGTTATCAGAGGTTATTTGTAGATGCAGAACCTACGCATAGAGAGGGCCAACTATATATTGCTCCATTCCTATCAATGACTTTATCATTGTTAAGATGGTTTCTCAGAAGTGGTTGTGGTAAAAGCAAATATCCCAGGAAAATGAAAATCAATGTGGAAGAGGGTAAACATGGTAATGTCCAATCTTATATCAGCCTAGGTCATTAAAAAGAAAATACAACTGGCCGGGCTCGGTGGCTCACGCCTGTAATCCCAGCACTTTGGGAGGCTGAGGAAGGTGGATAATGAAGTCAGGAGTTCAAGACCAGCCTGGCCAACATGGTGAAACCCCATCACTACTAAAACAAAACAAAAATTAGCCAGGCATGGTGGCAGGCACCTGTAATCCCAGCTAACTCGGGAGGCTGAGGCAGAGAACTGTTTGAACCCAGGAGGTAGAGGTAGCAGTGAGCCAAGACCATACCATTGCACTGTCTCCACTTGCCTGGGAGACAGAGTGAGACTCCGTCTCAAAAAGAAAAAAAGAAAGAAACAAAATACAACTTCCTCTTGGCTCACTTTCTCTTGAGACACCCACCCTGGAACCCAGCACCATGCGGTGAGAAAGCCCAGGCCACAAAGAAAGCCACATGTAGGTGTTTCTGCTAACACCCTCAGCTAAGGTCTCGGCTGACAGCGGCATCAACTGCCAGACCTATGAGTGAGCAAACTTCAGATGCTTCCAGCCTCAGGCTACTAAGTCTTCCAACTAAGGCCGCAGATATCATAGAGCACAGACTGGCCTTCCCCACTGTGTTCCAGCCAAATTGCTAACCCACAGAATCTGAGAGCATGAGTGAATGTTTTATGCCACTAAGTTTGGGAGGTAGTGTAACCATGATAACCATATCAATGGGGATTTAATATACGATACAAAGAAAGAAAAGTAGGCTGTGCATGAAGCTATGATGACAGTGCCTCATGAAGCAAAGATCATGACTAATCTAATCCCATGCACCCTGGAGTCCTTGAAGAGCGGGAAGGGGAGGCAAAAATAATTACAAGACACCTTCCAAAAACTCAAAACAAATGCATCTCATTCACCAATCTTTTGATGTAGGACCAAAGCCTCTTTTTGAAACACAGGACCACTGATAAAAAGTTCTAAGACATATCTTTTATATATATCACACCCATCCGGCAATATTTTCAATTTTGGTTTAAGTGGAAAAGTGGACCAAGAAAGTAAGAAAGCTTACAAAGCAATCTAAGGGTAAAATGATTTTGGGGGGAAAATTTTCTGTTGATCAAAAAAGTATCATTCAATTCAATTTCTGACAATAGGGTCATAGTAGGGAGAAGGTCAGCAGAAAGACATATGAATAAAGATCTCTGTGACATGAATCAGTTTAAGGAAAAGTGCTGTGCTTTGATGTGCATATATGCAAACATCTCCATAAACATTTTCAGTGCATAAAGAACAGCATTGCCACTAGCACGTCCCACCTCCAGCCCTAAGGCGGTTTTCTCCTATCTCAAGTAATTATTAGAGTCCCTGTGTTTACAAGCTGATATTTATTCTTCATTAATTTAACATCTCCCAAGTACTTGTATTAAAAATATTTTTTGCCAAAAGAAAAAGCTTACTGGAGTTTCAAAAATTAGTTTCAAACGGCCGGGCACGGTGGCTCACGCCTGCAATCCCTGCACTTTGCTTGGAAAAAGCAATTTAAATAAAAATGAGTTTAGGAGGATTTTTATGTAGGTTTCAGTTCTCAGAATAACCAATTATGTGAGTTTTGCATGTTGTTATTCAAGATTCGGGGGGCAGGAACAAGGTGGTTGGAGCTTGAGCTTCAGGCTAGTAAATTGCTTACTTTAGGCCCCAAAATTAGGTAGGTTTGAAGAAATTAAGGAGGTGTAAAGAGACAGAGTATGGAAAACACATTCTGTGGAGTAAGAAAGCTTACAAAGCAATCTAAGGGTATGATGCTCCTGTGTATGTATATTTGTCTCACTCGTGCCTAATTGGAAAGAAATTTTTTACATGACCTTTACTGACTCTTTCCAAAGCATTCAACTCACTTTACCATTTCTGTAGTAGTTAGTTAAATTATAATAAAGGGCATGAGGGTTCATAAATAGGTCTGGGAGCCTTAAAAATGTCATTCTTGACAAGTATTTATGTATGCTTGCATGTGTTATTTACTTCCACACACTTATATATAACTGTTTTGTTTCTAAAGGAGTAGGAGGAGGAGGAAGTATCTATTATGGGTAGTGATTATCTAAATTAGCTTACTCTACCACCCAATTATACTTTCCAGAGGTATTTTTGATACCACGTAGAAACCAAGAGGTTCCATTAAAATATTAAACCATTCTGGGAAACAGAAGCCTATATTATCTGTTTGTTCTGATAAGAGAAGTCAGTGATGGGTATCCTGAAGCCACACACCTCACTACTTGAATTAATGACATCACTGAAATACATCATTATGTATCACTAAAAAAAATACTGCCATTTAACCTACAATACAATGCCAAGATACCACTGATTGCACTTAGAATTAAATGTAATACCCTTTTGACAAGCACAAGTAATTATAATGCTTTGAGGAAGCCAAGAAAGCTGAAAGCACTGACAGTTATTGGTGAAAGGAAGTCATATACAGCAGTTGTAATCAACATGATGAAACTTTATTCCAGAAAAAAACCTTTAAAATTGAAAATTTCAAATAAGCAAGTCCTTTACAGACATGAGGCTACCTTCAAATCAAGATGTAAATGACAGTGTTAATTAGCAGCTTAAAGAGGCAGTTAAGTGGCAGTTAATAACACCGATAAATATGTAAGAGTGTGGAATTCTCAATGAGATCACTTCTCTTTTCCTTTCACTGGATTGTGTACAGATATCCTCTTGTTATTTAAATATAATACAATCACAGCGTTTGTGAAACGCTGTCTCTACTAAAAATACAAAAAATTAGCCAGGCATGACAGTATGCGCCTGTAGTCCCAGCTACTCGGGAGGCTGAGGCAGGAGGATGGCATGAACCCTGAAGGCAGAGCTTCCAGTGAGTGGAGACTGCACCACTGCACTCCAGCCTGGGGGACAGAGCAAGACTCTGTCTCAAAAAAAAAAAAAAAAAATTAGTTTCAAACAACATTCAAATTACAATTAAATTTACCTCTTCTTTGGGGCATGTTCTGCAGCTCTTTGAGGCCCGCCAGTTGTAGCTTTTAAGTGGACTTCTGCTGGGTGGCTTTGTTGTTTGTACATTTACTGTGCTCGATTCAACTTTTGAGCCCTTAATAATGTCTAACAAGTCTTTTTTCCTGTTTTCCTTTACACTGTCTTGGTTCTCTGAAGTCTCCTTGGAAGTCACAACAGTCCAGACCACTCAACTTCCTTGCTACAGATTGCGCCGTTAGTGCCAAAATATCTTTGGATATTATTTTTTGTCCTGGAAAGATGCGTTAAAGAAAAAAAAAGAAAAATACAATGCAGGCTAATAAAGCAAAAAAACATGTATCTAAAGTTTTTTTCAATTCAAGCCCTTTCCATTTGTTCGTATAATTATTGTTAAAAACCGTAACAGCAGAAACCTACCATTTATTAGCATACACTACATGCCTCACCTTGTGCAATATGTTTTATGTACATTTCTCACACCCACATTAACTCCCTAAGGTCTCCATTTTGCAGATAAGGAAACTGAAAATCAGGGATGTAACTAACCCAAGGTCATGCACCTCACAGCTCACTAAAGCCTAAGACACGCTGGCGTGCCACAAATAAGTAGAGGTGTGCTAAGATATTGATCACCTGCTCCTTGGGGTGGCCAGGGGACACCTGGGGGTGCTGGTGCTCCCAAATCTGTTCCTCCATTTATCCCAGAGTTTGGTAGAAAAACTCTGACATGGTTAATAAGTGACAATTTATTATTCTCAAACCCAGATCTGACTGACTGCAAGTCCTTGCTCTTAACATGATATAATACCTCTTTAAAAAGTTATAATTAAACAATACAAAAATAAATTTCTATCAAAAATATTACTTTAAAAAAACTGAGTGGGTCTTATTTTAATCTGATCAACATTCTCATCGAGCTACATGCCACTTAACCCATAACCACTTGTAAGCTAAGCTAAAATGGAACAGAAAAGAGAATCGATGGCTAGAAATGTCATTTTTGCTTTCTTCATTAGATACATTTATGAAAAAGAACACTACAAATGATTACATCTATATCAGACTCATGCAAAAGATGTCCTAAGTAACCCAAATATCCAATTTTATTCTGTGGGGTTAAAAACCTCTTTTGGCATTTGATTACTGAAGAACTTTAAAAACTCTGAATGTGTTAGTTTCCGTAAGAGGGTATAATATGTTTTAAAGATCATTCATTAAATACAGTGAATATCTACCCTGTGCTGGGCACTATATATTAGTAAATAAGAATTTCATGGTCCCTACTTTTATGAAGCTGATATGCTACAGCACTGCTTCTCAAACTTTAATATGAATAGAAATTATTATTTTTTTTGAAATAGGGTCTCGCTCTGTCACACAGGCTAGAGTGCAGTGGCATGATCTTGGCTCACTGCAGTCTCGACCTCCCCGGGCTCCGCTGATCCTCCCATCTCAGCCTCCTGAGTAGTTCGGACTAACTTTTTGTAGAGATGGGTTTCCCCATGTTGCCCAGGAACTCCTGGGATCCGACCACCTAGACCTCCCACTGCCCTCCTAGGCCTCCCTAAGTGCTAGTATTACAGGCATGGGCCACTGTGCCTGGCCCATAGAAATTATCTATGCTCCTTGCTAAAATACAGATTCTTTGGTCGGGAGTTGGAGACCAGCCTGACCAACATGGAGAAACCCCGTCTCTACTAAAAATACAAAATTAGCTGGGGCATGCCTGTAATCCCAGGTACTCTGGAGGCTGAGGCAGGAGAATCACTTGAACCCGGGAGGTGGAGATTGTGGTGAGCCGAGATCATGCCATTGCACTCCAGTCTGGGCAACAAGAGCGAAACTCCATCTTAAAAAAAGAAAATAAATAAATAGTTAATATTAAAGGTATTCTATCAGAAAGGTGGCAATCAGGGGAATGAATCTCATATATAATCTTTACTACAATGTTTTCTTTCAAGACTGCTATCATACCACAGAAAGCAATCTACATTACAGGAAAATCATGTATTATACAACTCCGTAACACTAATATAATAAAATTCTAAACCTACCCTCCCACCTGAGTTTGTTTCCACTCACAGCATTTCATCAGTACTTCAAATGCAACACCTTCAAAACCACATTCAAGACGTCCCCTTTCAGACTGACTTTCCATTTTTCACACTTCTATATTAAAATGCCCCCTAACATAAACAGATATTTTTTTGTTTTCCAAAAACTATAACATATGTAAAAATCTTTCTGAACCCCGGCGCTGCATTCTTCTGATAACATTAAGGATACCCTAATCCTCCAAAGCAGCCAGCTGAAATCTTTGCTCTCTGTGACCACCCTACCATTATCCCATGATGTCACATCCCCTTAATTCTACCTCTGCAATTTTTCTCCTCCATTCAGCTGGTCTGTCCCATCTTCACGGCTACTAACCTGCTTCAACACTGTACTTAACCAAACTGGCTTCTGAGTGTTATGCATGCAATTTATACAGTGGAATTAGGCTTTCATAACAATAAAGTTCTCGGAGGATACATAGCAAAACCAAGTATGCCGCAACACCTTTTCTTTCCTGGCTAACTTCAACCAGTGGTCCTTCAGATTTCATCAGATTTTTCTTCCAGAAAGGACATCCTGAGACGTCCCTGCGATGGTTAGGTGTCCCTATTTGCTCCGCCAGCAATTACTTGTTGGATGAACAGTGTACTCTGTGCTTCCGTACACTATCAGCAATTACTTCACTACACAGCACTTGAAGTGTCTACTTGCTGGAACTACACGCTCCGTGATGGCAAGGCTCTTACTTGGGGTTTATAATCAGTACTGGCACGCTGTAAAGTTTTTCAGTAATGAACTAAAGAATGAAGGAAACAGAAACGCGACTATTAAATAAATATTGGGAGGCAAAAGATAAAACAACTTCGCTTTTGGAGCTTGAATAAACTGACAGGAGTTGATGACAAGATGAACGAGGCACAGCGATCAGGCTTGTAATCGGAGCTGTTTTCCACGCACGCTATGACCTTGGGCAAGTCATCTTATCTTTCTGGGAATTTCCTTTTCACAGATTTAAAGCAATGGCTTCTAAAACCCAGAAGGTAATAACACTGTTCCCAGGAAGTCGGAGGATAACTGCATGTACAGGACGGGGCACTGGAATGCCCGAGGACCTGCGGGGCCAAGAGCGCTGAACTGCGGTACCTGACCGTTCCATGCCGAGCAGCGAGTAGCAAAATTGCAGCCGCTGATGTCTCCGGGCTTCCAGAGGACAAAGGGTGGCAGGAAAGGGGACGAAGAGGTAGAAACGCCGAGACCCTAGGAAACGCCGCCGAGACACAGTCAACCAAGAGCGCAATTGAAACACTGCGTCCCCATGCCAAAAACATCCCCTGCACTCTCTTCCGTTTCCGGTCCGGCGCGTTCCTCACCCTTTGCGTTCCGGTGGGCAACAGGGGCAGGTAACTGTGTTCCGGACTCGCCCGCGGCCGGGTGGAGCCAGCTACCTCCAGGCGACCCCACCCATCCGGCGATTCTGTTCCTAGAGGTGTTCCTCGCCAGTGTTCAGAGGATCCCTGACCGCCAAACGAGATAGTGGAGGGCGTGATTAGTAGTGCGAAAACTACAGATGATCAGTCTGTTTTTATGCTTGCTTTTTTTTTTTTTCTAAGACGAGTCTCCCTCTGTTGCCCAGGCAGTGGCGCGATCTCAGCTCACTGCAACCTCCGCCTCCCGGGTTCAAGCCATTCTCCTGCCTCAGCCTCCTGAGTAGCTAGGATTACAGGCGTGCGCCACCACGCCCGGCTGTTTTTTTGTTTGTTTGTTTGTTTGTTTTTTGTACGTTTAGTAGAGACAGGGTTTCACCAGGTTGACCAGGCTGGTCTCGAACTCCTGACCTCGTGATCCGCCAGCCTCGGCCTCCCAAAGTGCTGGGATTACAGGCGTGAGCCATTGCGTCCGGTCGATCAGTCTGTTCTTTAACAGCACTACTGTCCATTCTTTGGAGGGAAAGGGTCTACAGCGTTCATCACGTTCTCAAAATGCGCCATGGCCACCAAAGAGGTTTAAAAAAGTTATCATAGGACCTGCTGCCCGATGAAATATCGTTTCTTTTCCTTCTTTATCCTTGATGTTGAGTCAAAATAAGACATACGTTTCATTTTTCACAAGTGACTTTAGGCCGGGCGCGGTGGCTGATGCCTGTAATTTCAACACTTTGGAAGGCCGAGGCGAGTGGATCACCTGAGGTCGAGTTCCAGACCAGCCTGGTCAATACGGTGAAATCCCGTCTCTACTAAAAATGCAAAAATTAGCCCGGCGTGGTGGCGCACGCCTGTAAATCCAGCTACTCAGGAAGCTGAGACTTGGACTGATTCCCCGCGGGCGTGCGGGAGTTGGGCAGGCAGAGGCGGGTTCAGGGAACAGGCTGGGCGGGAGCGTGGGAAAAAGCTGACGCGCTCTCCTCAGTTCCCGCTTAGGGAACTTAAAGGAGAGTTTTAATTTGTCCTCCCTGCAGTTAGGGAGCGCGTACTCGTGTGCTGCCCGAGCAGCCCGCACTGTAGTGAGCCTCGCCGCTGCCGCTGCCGCTGCCCCCTTAGGGCCACTCAGAGGGTGGGTGGGAGGTGACCCCGGTCACCCTTTCCCGCCCCTCTGTGTCCTGCTGCGGTGGGGAAGGCAGAAGACGCGAGGCAGGCCCGTGGTACATGGTGCTCCCGGCTTAACCGCACCCTGCGTTGGCTCCAGGGGGCTGGCCAGGCTTTCGTGTCGCAGATTCCCGCGAAGTGCAGGATTCAGATCTTACCACGGTTCTTTTTAATAGTGAGGAGTTGCCTCCGTGTAAGATTAGGGTGTTGTATTACTCTTGTTAATGGAGCTTGTGCTGTCGACCTGTGAGATCTCAAAGTTAAGTTTTAATTTGATCATGAACATACACAAAGCAAAGTCTTATGGATATTAAAGAATTATTTATATATTCTAATTTTCATCATAGTTTTAAAATCTTCATAGAATCTGTTATCAGTGAGGAACTTTAACAAGGAATTTGAAAAGGAAACCAATACAATCATTGGATTTGGGTTCAGTCTTTAAAAATAAATTTGCAAAAAATTCATTCTACACCTATTTTTATGAAAGTATTTTTCCCCTAAGGTCTAGGGACTCCTATTTGGAAATAGAATTTTTATTAAACGCCTGTGCAGGCCAGGCGTGGTGGCTCAGGCTTTTAGTCCCAGCACTTTGGGAGGCCAAGGTGGGCGGTTCACTTGAGGCCAGAAGCTGGAGACCAACCAGCCTGGGCAACATGGTGAAACCTCATCTCTGCTAAAAATACAAAAATTAGCCGAGCGTGGTGGTGCACGACCGACCGTAGTAGTCCCAGCTACTCGGGAGGCTGAGGCAGGAGCTAATCTCTGGAACCCGGGAGGTGGAGGTTGCAGTCAGCCAAGATCCTGCCACTGCACTCCAGCCTGGGAGACAGAGCAAAACAACGTCTCAAAGAGAGAGAGAAAAAAAAAAAGATAAAAAGATGCAAGAGAGAGACTTGGCTTTTACCTGTCCTTCATGAAAAAGGGAACTGTGACCCAGAAAAGATGTAGAGATGTGGGGTTGCCAAACCTAGAAGGGCATGAGAATAAACCCGGCAGGAGACTTTGGCTAATGGGGCACATGGGAACCACTAGCCTAAAATTCCATAAAGGCATTCCAAAGTTCACGTCGACATTTTCTCCATCCTCACAAAAATAATCAAGATGGGGAGGTGAGCTTTTGTGACGCTGAAAACACAGCTTACTTTGAGCAGATCTTCCTAAGATCCACTCACGCTAACGGAACCTTTGTGACTGAATGCTATACACAGTACCCTTGGGGATGCTTACTTTGTTTTATTTGTAAAAAAACAAACTTTTTTTTTTTTTAACGAAGTATAACTTCGTCAAAAGACAAAATTATGGTAATTTTAGTTTAATTGGTTTTTATTTGTGATTATAGAATAGGGCAACATCTCCTTCTCTATAAAGTAGAATGAGTGTTCCAGTGAGTTGAGCAGAAGTGTTTGGCTTTATAGGCACAAAAGGGCTGAAGAAAATAGAAGGAACAAAAATCAGAT